TTCCCTCTCACGGCCCACACAATGCGCATGTAAACTGCATTTGGGCTCACAGATGGGTCTGCATTTCCCTGACGGCTCAACCTGTTAGCATATCAAATCTCTAAATAGTTCATATGTTGCAAGGAACAAGCTATCGATAACACATACCACTACATTATAGAAATCTTCCTCCCGTTCTCTGGTAGTCATCGACCCAGCTGCATCCCATAGATTATGCTTCACTAGCCGCTTCATCGACTTATTCCTTGCCACCAACTCGGGTAAGCATGTAGCTTTTGTAGTATTCTGTCCTAATGTACACTCAAATTGGATCAGGAGCAGGCATAACGGAACAAGTACATGCCCGTATCCTACGCCAACTTCAGACATTTTGTACGATATATAGAATTCAACAATACTTTCGTTCCAAGTTCAATAAGCAACTAATTCACAATCTTCGATTGCATACCTCATATAGCTTTGGCTTTATATTATTTAACCGCAAACATTATAAATTCTACATATATGGTTTGCAAATATCGGCAGAGATTAGGAATATTCAGGTTGCCTTACTTGACTCTTGAATGAGCAAATGAAACAAGCCTATATGTATTTAAATCTCGCCCGCAGTAATGTAAGATCATTTTAGTTGATTTGCCTTAAAATGAAGCTACCATCGACTGCATTAGAAAATTATGTAATATATATCGGTTTATAAATATCTATACTACATATATTATAATTATAGTAATGTTTTTTTATTTTTATTTTTTTTTATTTATATATATTTATATTGACAATCAATATATTTTTTCCTTGCGGCAACGTCTTTACTGTAGGATATCAACTTTTTCTACTTCCCTTATGATATACATAATTATTTTGAATGATGATGATCTTTCTAAAGCTCTACATAATTTAGAAGCACTTTTAATTCATTGAGTCCAATTCTCATTGAATTATCATTTTCAATGCATATGCCATTCGCTTGCTTTATAAATAGGTTGCATTTTTAACTTTATGTCATATATGCTCTGTGCTGTGCCAGCTCTGATAAGCGGAATCTTGAAGTGCATTTGTTATATTCAATGTTAAGGACCGCTGCTTGACTTCGGGCCATATCACAAGAAAAACAAAATGGAATGCACGCCAGCTTTGAAAGTGAGATGAGGTCGTTGTTTTGGCCACTGAGGGTTCAACAAACGTATCATATATAGAAACATGCATTTATATAGAGAGAAAGAGAGAGAGAGAGACAGAGAGAGAGAGAAGCCTGATAAGCTGTAGCACAAGCACAAGTCTGGTCTGAACGGTTTGTAATAAAAATCTCATTTGTCAGTTCATTTGTTAATTGTTCATTAAAGCGAATGGTATTGCGTTATCCCAGAAATTAGAAAGTAGAAAGTGGAAAATGTTGCGTCTACTCATAATATGTTTAATCAGCTCGCTGTTGATTTGCCTGCAAATCGATGCCTGTACGGAACGTGTGCCGTAAGCTCTAGTCGAATTTCATAAGGATATTTTCAATCTACTTCGATTTTAATTTGTGCAGAATGATGAAAATGAAAGTGAGTCTCGTGACCATGCGCAAATATCACGGATTTACCAACTGCACCACCGACTGTGGACCTCTGGTTGTGCGACCCATCAAAGAGGTGTGTATAAAGTAAAGTTGTGAGGTGTAGTGCGAATGTAAAGAGAGAATGGAATTTAATTAAATAAATATTTATAAATTAAAATATCAGAAAATTATATATTTTTCAAAATATTCCATTTATTCCTAGTGTATAAATTTTTTCAAGCTCTTATCATATATAGAAGTTTAATTTAATCATTTTCGTTAAAATTAACTAACTAATTTGATCAGCTGTGCTCTACCTCTACCTCTACCTCTACCTCTACCTCTACCTCTACCTCTACCTCTACCTCTACCTCTACCTCTACCTCTACCCTCTACCTCTACCTCTACCTCCACCCTCTACCTCTACCTCTACCTCTACCTCTACCTCTGTCTATAACTTTCTTTCTCTTTCTCTTTCTCTGACTTTATCTTTTTCTCTCCCTGTCATTCTATAATATCACTGCTTCTCTCTCTCTTTTATATAAGACCTACATGTCATTGGAGGACGTTTGCTGTGAGGGCTACGAGCGCAAGGAGGAAAAGTAAGTAAAGTCTTAGAACCAACTTAGAACTTACCTTGAGTAAATCTCTCTCTCTCTCTCTCTCCCCCTCTCTTTTTCTCTTTCCTTCCCTCTGTCTGTTTGCCTCTTTCCCACCGCTAGCGGCGAGTGCTTGCCCAAGTGTCATGATTGTGGAGCAAATGGCAAATGCCTCTCGCCCGAGGTGTGCCTCTGTGATCAGGGCTACAGCAATCGGGCGAATCGCAGCATTTGCCAGCCCGTCTGCAGTGAGCCCTGCGTGAATGGCAATTGTGTGGCTCCGGATGTTTGCCAGTGCGCCAATAACTATCGGTTGCGCAACAACAGTCTATCGGTTTGCCAGCCCGTTTGCAAGACCAGCGAATGCACAAACGGCATCTGCCAAGAGGACGGATCCTGCCAGTGTCGGCGTGGCTATCGCCGCAACGTGACCCTGGACATGTGTGTGCCCGACTGCCCGAATCTGGCGGAGCACAGCGACTGCATTGCACCGAACGAACAGCGCTGTCACGAGGGCTACGAGGGCCACTGGGATCGGGAGCAGAACTATCGCTGCGAGCCCATCTGCAGCAGCGGCTGTCGCAACGGCAGGTGCCTGGAGCCCGACCACTGTGCCTGTAACGTGGGCTTCGGCCACGTCGGCAATCGAGTGGGTGCGGGCTGTGAGCCCATCTGCCAGCCGGCGTGCATCAATGGCACCTGCGCCGCTCCGAATCATTGCCTCTGCCAGCCCGGACATGTCCCAATGAACGCCAGCCATCACATTTGCACGCCCAGCTGCCGGCAGGGCTGCGAGAATGGCGTCTGCAGTGCGCCCGGCGAATGTGCTTGCAATGAAGGCTACAAGAAGCTGACGCCGCATCGTTGCACGGCCAGCTGTGATCCGCCGTGTGGCCTCAATGCCCGTTGCACGGCGCCGGACACCTGCAGCTGTGATGAGGGCTTCGTCCCGGTTAATGGCAGCAGCACTCAGTGCGAGCCGTTCTGCAGCAAGGAGTGCTATAATGGCATCTGCAGCAATCCGGAGGTCTGCACCTGCCTCAACGGCTACGAGGCGATCTCGCCCTACTACTGTGTGGCCAAATGCCGTCGCTCCTGTGTCTTTGGCAGCTGTGTGGCGCCCGACAAGTGTCGCTGCTTCAACGGGCACCGGCCCAGCGCGCGGGATCCATTCGTCTGTGAGCCCATCTGCAGTGAGCCGTGCGGCCACGGACGTTGCATTGCCCCGGAGATATGCGAGTGTGAGCCGGGCTATGCGAAGCGTTGGCCCAGCGGCTCCTGTGAGCCTTATTGCAGCCAGAAGTGCATCAATAGTCGCTGTGAAGGCGGCACCGGACGCTGTCGCTGCTACGAGGGCTACCGTCTGCGCGAGGGCTCCAACTCCATCTGTGATCCGATCTGCTCGCCCAGCTGCAGCAACGGCACCTGTGTGGAGCCCAACAGCTGTGAGTGCTGGCCGGGCTACGAGGACACCAAGCTCTACTACGAGTGCAAGCCCAGCTGCCGGCCGAGCTGCCAGAATGGGCGTTGCGTGGCGCCGGGTCGCTGTGAATGCAATTCGGGATTTACGGCCAGCAATGCGAGTGAACCGCATCTGTGTCGCTCCCAGTGCCGGGAGCGCTGCATCAACGCCGAGTGCCTGCGTCCAAATGAGTGCATCTGCCTGGCCGGCTACAGTTTCATAGCCAACAGTCGCAGCGAATGCGCCCCCGACTGCAGCCCGCCCTGTGACGAGGACAGCGTGTGCGTGGCACCCGAGATTTGCGAGCGGCGTACGTACCGTGCTCTTAGCGTAGACGGATCCGGAGGCTATCCCAAGTGGAGCATGCTCTGCCTAGCCCTGTTGCTCTGCCTCTTCCTCCTAATGCTGCCCATGATCCTGACGCGTGAGTACCTGCAGCGGCGTAAGTCGAGGAAGGACAAACAGCGCGTTCACCTCATCGAGAATCCCAGCTATGGTGTTTGCTTGGCGGCCAGCGAGGAGCTGCCTGCGGATCAACAGATTGGATTAGGCGATTGAGTCAACAGCTACTAATCGATAACATATGTTTTTAAAATGAATCGATCATTTGCAGCTCTTTATATGAAATATTCATTTCGAACTCTCGTTTTTATATACAAGCGTACTTTTTATATAATCTATAATCTATAATCGTTAACTCACTAGTTCTAATGACCATTTTTTATAATCGATAGGCCACATGCTTATATCATCGATCATTTAACAGTATGTAAATGAATTTTGCAATACACATAATAATCGTGTTCAGACGATAAAACACTTTTTTATATAATCGTTAACTTTTGTCACTGTTGTTAATTATTTAATACGTTATACATTTTACAGCTCGATTTTTGCTCCTTATAATTATCATTCTTACTAGAGCACTCTTTATTATTAAAATCGTTGATTTTTATAGTATGCTTGATTTTATAGTATACTTTCAGTATGTATATAGAATGTGAAAAAAATGTTATTTTACAGTTGTCTATTTGGATTGATTTTATTTTTAAAAGCCAAAAACATGAAATTTAATAATTTTAAAAACTTCGAATCCAATTTAAAAAATATAAATTTTATTTTAATGTATTTCAATAATTTAATGTGGAGTATTTAAATAATGAACTGAGAATATAATATATAAAATGTTTAAAACTTAATAAACAAAATGAAAATAAACAAATTAAAATTAAAAAAAATAAATAAAAAAAATTAAAAAAAATAAGACTTAAATAATAACAACAAAAAATAAAATTAAAAATTAACTAATATTTTTATTTGAATAATAGATGAACTGCGTAAAGGTTCCATGTTCTAAAAACTTCCCCTTTTCACTATGCCAATAAAAAGTAGTCGTCAATTATCGTAAATAGATTAACTTTAATATTGTATATTATGGCTTGGTTTCATTTTTGTTTCAACATATATATATGTGTGTGTATGTGTATATATAGAACTAACTGCAAGTAAGTTCTTCAAGTAATGTCGACAAATGCTTAGCATTTTCTAAATATTTTACGCGCATATCGAAATATAGACATCTATTTACTATGCTAGTGTAAACACTAAATATGCTGGGCTCAACTAGCCTATCAAACCGAGAACTAAACTAATTAATAAATTACATATACATATATGTAGTACAGAATACTTGTAAGTGTGTATGTGTGTGTGTATTTAAACGAAATCCTTGACTCGAACCCAAAGAAATTGACTACTTAAGATTAATTATATATATGTTAGCGGATGCTCTGGGTGGCATCACATGGCCATGTTCCGTTATTACACTATGCCCCACTCCCCAAAATATCTGTCCCGTTGTCCCCGCGCTATACAATCTATGAACACAGTGAGCTTTCTGTTCCCCCTTCCGATTACAGGTAGGTCTCCTCATGCCGTCGTCTCCAGCTGCCCCAGAAGTCTGGCATCCGTCATGGCGGCGCATCATTGGGTACTGGCGGCGGCTTCTCTGGCTGCAGCTGGGCCGGCGGAGCTAGCAGAAATCCGCTCGAGTCACCTGGCTGCGGCATGCCCAATATGGCATTGCCAGCTGCCGCACTGGCCGAATCGCCGTCTTCCATAATGACCGAACTGTCCGCGGCGGAGGGTATGGTGGGCAGAAAGCGTACACCAAGGCGTGGCGGCGATGAGTCCTCCTCCTCCTGCACCGCCTCCTGGCGCACCAGACGCGGCTTAGTCAGCGTATCGTGCTGCTGTTTGCCATTGTGAGCTGAAAGAAGCAAGTAAACTCAAGTTGGCTCCGATCTTTTCTCTCACTCCCTTCCTCTTTCTCCCTCGCACTCACCTATTATTGAGGGTAGCGGCGTGCTGCTACCGGCACTGGAGCGCGATAAACGGAATGTGGAGGTGCTGGCCGTTGTAGCCGATGCCGATGAATCGTTGCGTGAACTGGACAAATTCGAGTCCTGTGAGGTCTTCCGTGTGATCAGCCAAGCCGAGTGCCTGCGCCTGCCGTGCGTATGCCCCTGTCCCGGCTCCATCAGCTTTAGCGGCATGCTGCAATTGGACTGCGGGGCCGGCGTCGAAGAGTTGGTGCCATGTCGCCAGCTGGAGCTGCGAGAGCTGCAGAAATTCTCGCTGGATATGGAGCTGGCGCGATTTTTGCGCTGTTGTCGCAGCTCCGCAAACTGATATTGATACGGATTGGCCGCAGCGGCGGTGTAGGCCCTCTGACGTCGCTGCTGCGGCTGCCGTCGCTGCTTGCGTCGCTGCCGCTGGCCACAGCAGAGACGCTTCAAGCGCTGCCACAGCGTCGGCGTCTGCTCTATCTTATGCCAGTTGGGCATCTCGCTGGGCAGCATGCGCAAGCACCGGCAACCAGGCGGATGAGCGACTCCAGCAGCAGCGGGCAGCAGAGGCGGCGGCAGCTCTCCAGCACCACGTTTACCACGCGCAGCACGTGCGGCACTGATTCCTGCACCGCCACCGCCTCCCGCTGCGGCTGCACCGCCAGCGGCACCTATGACGCGCGTCTCCTCAAAGTGCTTGCAGAGCGTCACGCAGTCCTTCTTGAACTGCTTGGTCATGATGGCATAGAGGAACGGATTGCAGCAGCTGTTCAGCGGCAACACGAACACCGTAAAGATCTTCGCCTGCTCCAGCGAGATGAGCTGCAGTCCGAATATGGCCGTTATCGAGAAAAATGCAATCGGTGACCAGCAGAGGAAGTCCGTGAAGACCAGCAGGGCCATGCGCTTCGCAATGCGCGAATCGTTCGTATTCCAGGCCTGGCTGCCGCGAATGGCCCAATACATCTTCAGATAGCAGCCCATTAGGGTGAGAAAGGCGCAGCCATTGATGAACATCAGGCTAATCACATACGTCAGACTGGCCACGCCCGTCGTCGTCTCGAAGGGCAGGCAGACGGCAAACTTGCGATAATCGGAGACGCCCAGCAGCGGCAGCAGCGCCATGCAGAAGGCAAAGATCCAGCCCACGCTCATTATATAGCCCGCCTGGCGCAGCGAAAGTCTCTTGTTCAGATGTATCGCATGGGTAATCGCATAATTCCTCTCCAGCGTGATCACTGCCAGCGTATAGACAGACAGCTCTGAGCTCAGCACAGCCAGAAACCCGGCAAACTGACAGAGCAGCGACATTTGCCAGGGTATTGCGAACATGCGAAACTCGCCCAATGTCGCTGCATCCACAATGGCCAGAATGCCCAGATAGATGCCCATAAAGAAGTCGGCTGCGGCCAGATTGCAGACCAGAAAGCGCGGTACATCCATTTTCGATCTGGAGCAGATGAGCACGAAGACGACGGTGCCGTTGCCGAGCAGCGCCAGAAGAAAGACCACCCAAACGCCGCAGCGCAACGTCCACCAGTCAAAGAGATCCGCGCAGGGCAGAAATGGCCCCGGCATGGGCAGACACTGCACGGAGCCCGGCTGGAAGTCATCGGCCGTAATGCCACTGAACAGTCCGGTGCCTAGTCCATAGCCAGTGCCGGGCGCACTCATATCATGCTCCTCGAAGTACTCCTCCATGTAGCTGTTGGCCAACTGACTGCCCGTCGGCACCTGCTGCGCGTCCTCGTTCAGGTTGTAGTTGTTCATCGGCGAGTCCCACAGGTCGTGCATGGCAGCGCCCAGCTGCTTGCTGAGATTGTCTGGGAATGAAGAGCACATTTAGCTAAGCGCCTGGCAAGCGGGTGCAACAGGCTGTGGCATACTCTGTTCATAGCATAATCTTTTCTCTTGATGAGTTTTAAGCTGTCTTCTAACTGCTTCCTAATAATATGTAATTTTTTTTTTTTTTTCGATTTGCTACTTTGACTTAGCTATAAGAATCTCTTTAAGCAACAGAAAATAAGATTTACAATTTGCAATTTTCTTTTAAAAGCAACGCATTGATTTGTTTATACAATTATAAGTAAGAAAATCAGTTTCGAAAAACTAAGTCTTTATCATGTCTAATTGACAAACTAGAAGAACATATACTATATTTATCTATAGGAAAATACATTCTAGCGGACCGATGAGGGAAAAAGTAGATGTTAGGGTCCATACTAATAGTAGTTAGTATGGAAACTGTATATCATTTCTGATAACGTTTACAATAATGAATAATAACACATGAAGATATAAGCAACAGCTGTTAATATAGTGCAAGTAAAATTGAAATAATACATAGAGTAAAGAACAGCAGATGGAGTCGGAGCGGGATTGCTGATTTCGCTATGCTATGCTTACTCTACTAGCACGCTGTACGGGTGTCGTAAATTAATAGCAGATGTTTCAATTAATGCAGAATATCATACTATAAAGCCATCACTATAAAAGCTACCCTTACGTAAAAGGCATTTAATTAAATCAGAGTAAAGCAACTACTGCAGATTAGCTTGAATGAATACAAATTGTGAATGCTAACATCTGAATGAATAGAGACTCGCTTATACTTATTACAGACTATTACAGACTATTATCCAAAACTAATGCCCACATTAACAGATGAATATTAATTAATACATAGCACAGAGACTAAAATCTACTTTGTAGACTTACAACTGACTGACAAATCTAACAGAGTATATCAAACCACTAATATGAATTGTAAATGCTAAAATCTAAGTCATTATAGATTCGCTTTTACTATCTAAACAGAGTATGTGCAAGAAATCAAGATGAATGCTTTACACGCACGCATTTGTGGCCAAATGTTCATCATGCTGTTGTTCCACAATGTCATATCGAACTCCGCATCGGAGGGAAAGAGCACCGCCTCCTGGACCTGGGAGGTCTTGCGCTGTGCAGACATTGCCACCAGAGGCAGAAAGGCGCAACAATGGTACGCATACGAGAGAATTAGCGTTTGGATGCGTGGAAACGTATCGGGCGGTGGGAATTCACGCAGTTTTGGATTGTTGAAAGTCTTCAAGTGCAGCAGGCCACGCAAACCAGCCTCTGGCAGCTGGGGAAATATATTATTGCCCAAATTGAGATCCTCGAGACCGGTAAAAGCGGCAAACGCATCCTTGTGTATGTGAGCTATCTCATTGCCCTCCAGATCGCTGGAAATAATTCATAGCTAAGTTATGTATTCAAGTGTATATTATTTAGTATACTCACAGCAGCTGCAGCTTGGGTATGCCCTGAAAGGCATCCTGCGGCAGTGTCTTGATGCGATTATAGGAGAGCAGCAGGTCGTGCAGCTGCTTAAGTCCATGGAAAGGTCGTCCTTGTAACGTCTCAATTTGATTACTCGATAGATCTCTATAAGCATAAATATAATATTTATATATTCCCTGATTTATATATTCCCTCTTCCTCTATACTCACAACAGCCTTAAGTCTCTGCAGCTACTTAAATTTGGGATGCTTTTCAGGGAATTGGTTTTAAGTTCTCTAAAAGCAAAGGCAAATATTAGTTGAATCTTATTCTATATGAATATTTGCATTGTCCGCCTTACAAACTCTTCAGTCTTGGCGTCTGACGACACAGATTCGATGGCACCTCCTGAATGCCGGCGCGATCCAGCTTAAGTATCTCCAGGGCATGGCAAGCCTCCAGTTCGGGAAAGTGCCGCAAGGTGCGTACATCGGAGAGTATACTAGCATAAAATTAAAATTTCTATATTAATAGAGGAGTCAACGATTTATCTCATTTACTCACAGCTTTCGCAGCTTGGTCATGCCCCGAAAGGCGCCCGCTGTGATCGTGGATAGAGGATTCGCTCGCATATCCAACATTTGCATGCTACGCGGTAGCTCCGTATCGTTTATCCAGCGTATGCGATTGCTTGTCATGGAGCTGCAAAATATATAGATATGTATCTGTTAGATGCACATGCGTATCTCGAAGATGCACTCTGTTGGCAAGTGCCACTTGACACTTGAACTGCGTTGCAGCTGCATTTGAAAGTCTAGTTGGCCAGCTACCAAGACAGCTGCCACGCATAAAATCAGTTCTCAAATATATTTTGGTAGCATATTTTGTTATCGTCTTTTGGGTTTTTCTTGGCCAACATTCAGGAAATGCACTTTCGTGCCATTGTCTTTGCTTTGTGGGTCAACATTGAAGGTGAAGTGGTTTAGACAACCCATTTTAAGCAAAATAACAATTGAAGTACTATTGGCAATTGAGCTTAAAATTTAGTTTAAAAATGGAAAAATAAATATATAAACTTACTTACAAATAAAAAGGATTTTTAGAATTTAATATATATTAATTTTTATATTTAAGTCAGAAATTAATATTTAATATTTAATAATTAATTATTTAAGTATATACATATTTTATATAACAATTATTTTAAAGCTTGAAATTTAATATTTACAAATATGTATTTAAATTAAAATTAAAAAAAAACTAGGCACTTAATATTTAATAGCATTCAATTTATTTATTTTGTTATATTCCTCTACCATTTGCTGAATTCCGAACACCCACTTGCCAAAATTTCCAATTTAAAACTTAAAATTCCAAAACGTATTAATTTTTTTTTTTTTTTACCCACTTCTACATTTCATTATTTAAAAAAGAAAAAAAAAAACCTTTTTCATTTGCTAGCGAAAAGTTTCCACAAAAATCTCACAGTTTATCGAATTAATTTGTAGCCTAGATTTTTATATTTTTTATTTTTATTTGTTTCTCTATTTCCTTTGGCTTCTCATCTAAGAAACAGTTAACTCGCTGCTTGCAAGCACTACAAAATGTGTTTAATCCTTTTAAATTTGTTTTTCTTGCCACTTGGTAAATGGCAACTCAAAAAGAAGGAACGAAGGGAAATGAAATAAAAACCGCAACACATGTGAGCCAAGCAAAAGTGCAAGATTTCTCGACAGCCACGCCCCCAGCATTCCCGGCCTCTCTGCACCCGCTGAAGAGTCACAAATTTATTTGCCAGTTTAATTCCCCAATCATGGGGATAGCAGTTGGCTGCTTGGCTGGCTCGTTGCTTTGGCTGATGCTCGGCAAGTGCAACGCAGCGTGGCTTTTATCGCAACATTTAACATGCTCATAATTATCCTGTTTACCAGAAATTCAATTTCCTTGGGGACACATTCGAAGAATGTTACAAAAAGCAAACAAAAAAAAAAAAAAAAAAAAAGAGAAACCGTCGCAACGATGTCAACGCTTCCAATGACTGTCGACGCAGTCGCCACAGTTTCCAGTTGCAGGAAGTGCGTGTGACAAAAACAGAATGAAACTGCGACTCCTATGATGACTTATTCAAATCAAGAATTTGAAATGCTCTAAGTGAATTGATTAAAAAAATTGTGTAAAAAAAAATTAAATATTAAATGAAATAATTACTAATATTAATACTAAATAATCAACATTTTAATAGGAAACATGTAAGATATATATCAATATATAAATAATAAGAGTGATATTTAATAATACGATCATTGACATGGTTAACTAAACGATCGTATACTATTTAATGATAATAATAATAATACAAAAAAATAGTACTATTTCTCATATTTCTTCTTTCAACTACATCTCTCTCTCTCTCTCTCTCTCTCTTTCTCTCTATTTATAACCCTTCCTATCTCTACTTGCTTCCATTATCTATTTTTTATTTTTCCTTTGCAATCTCCATTTGTGCATCTCTTAAACTTTTTTACTACTTTTTACTTCAGACTTTCTTTAACCGCATCGGAAAGTAAATAGACTTTGACTAACAATAAAATGAAAGAGTTGCATTTGCAATAGCTACAGGATGTGGATGAAATCAACTGCAGCCGCAACGAGCGAGGGTTGGTGACTGCTCTACTTGGGGGGTTCAACTACATCTACTAGCTATAAGGATGGGTATGCGACGGAGGACATCGTCGTAAATTCGCCAAGTAATGATGCGTTATGATTTTTGGTTTCCGCTTGTTTGCCGCCTGACAAAGTAGAAAATGTTGTGCTGCCAACTTAACAATGCAGCAGACTGAGCCAAGCGAGCAAGAGCTCGCTTTAACTATTTTAATCTATGCTTAGCACCTGGTGTAAATACTTACAGCTCCTGAAGCTGCGGCAATTTGCCAAGTCCCTCCGGCAAACTGCTTATCAAATTATCATCCAGCTCTCTAGAAAGACGAAAAAGCAGAAGATGAAGAAAAATGAAATAGTATACAAATTATTATTGGAGCACATTTCAAATATCGTTTATACAAATATTGTGACTCGCTCTGTGAGTCGCCCAACTGTGTATTTGCATTTGCAGAGGGTTCTCTCAGCTGTACGTGTCCGCACGTACCTAAAAACATTCTGATTGGATGAGCCCCAACTGTGTGTGTGGGATGCAAATTTATGCATGAATATAGATATAAAGTTCAGTTTCAAGCAAACTGCATTGATTTCAATTATACGTGAGGGTGAAAATATATTAAAATAAAAGGCGAATATATATACATTTACAGTGGCTTTGTTTAATAATATCCCTGTGCATTTGGGTGCAATAAATAAAGTACGAGTCGATGACGTCTGTAGCTAGAATACATAAGGCTGTCTTCAGCTTAATATTATTTAATAATTTAATTTATTTAGAAAAACTCTATATATAGTTCGGAAACACTTAACTGAGCTGAGCAAATTTTTAATCTATTTTTGCAGTGCTTCTTATAAGAACTTTCAGTGTACGAAAAATACATATTTGCTAACAGTAAGACAAATATATACGTATAAAAAAATGTTACCATCTTATATTTATAAGTTAAAATATACAATATGTAAAATGCAAAAATAAATATACATGTATCACATTTGAATTACTTATTTTTAACTTTTATTTAATAATATGCAATTCGTATATTCTTTATTTTACTTATGTGAAAAGCCCTATATGTTTTTTTATGATTATTATTTTTTGCTTTATATATTTAAATCAATTTTAAAAACAATTTAAAATGTTATAATTCCTTTAAACAGTAATTAATTTTTTGAAGTATATGAGAAACATGAGAAATTTGTTTTCATATATATCAATTTATAAATTTATGCTCTAATTTATGTATATCGGGCTTTCGTTTAATATGTTAATCCACGCATAAATATATAAACAGCTCCTCTTTGGTCCCCAACGCTGAGTCTGCATCCCTCAATATGCGTGACTGGCATTAAAACAAAACTTTCACTTGGCCAACGCGTTGCAGACACGCAACTTAGATGGAAAGGAGTGTTGAGGGAGTTGGTACTACTGCTGCAGTCTGTGTGTTTGGAAAAGCTCATAAATCATTGGGGAAAATGCATACGGAAAATTCCTTGATACTTTTCTACACAGATTTACGCGTGGCACGGCAAAAGTTTTTCACTTTCACTTGATGCATTCTTCTTCTGATGCAGTTGAAGTTACCGTTGCACTGCAGCTGATGCCCCACAAACCCACTTATACCTTCGCATATAAATATATCTCAACATAGTTTGTCGGTTTAGTTCACTTCGTCAGTCAGTCAGCCACAACATAAATTTGCATATTTGTCATCGTCTGCAGCCCTCGAGTTTGTTTAATGCGCCCGCCCCCAAAGTATGCAACACATGAGCCAAAAATTTGCGGTAAGCAGGAGTAGTAACAACAACAACAACCAGCAGCGGCGTCAACGACGACTGCAACTGCGACGCCAGCAGCGGCGACGACAATTTAAGCTGTCGCAACTCCAGCACAGGAAAAAGTTTTCCACGCTTTGAACCAAAATTGAAATTTATTCTAGCCAAACTCCAAGTAAAAACCAAACGAGCAATAGTCAAATATTGCTAGACTAAGAGCTACTCTAGAATGTTCACTTTAATTGGGTATTTAACTGAGGAATTAGAAAAGATGTTTAATTAAACCTGTTTGAACTGTAAGAATGAAAGTTATGAAGATGCAGGGACATCGAAAATTCTCATATTTTATTAAATAAGATATCATTTATAAATATCTAAAATGTATCCAAAATTTATACTAGGTACAAGACATGAAGAACATACCTAGAATGAATATGTTTCTCTATTTCTCTAGCATACCCTGTGATATCTATTTACTGGGTACAACATGAAATAAAACGGATGAACACCATTTCCACTTGCACTTCAACTCTCAACTGTTTACACTCTCCAGTATTGAAACTTTCATATGAGGCTTTGCGGCGGAACGCGCTAATCGAATATTTAAATACTCTTAAAAGATTTTACATTGGTAAATACTAGAAGGAAATACTATAATAACTTTTGATTGTAAAAAAAAACGTGAATATACTTCTTTTCTTTCTCAATAAAAATTTATGTTGTGCTTTTCATAAATTTTTATACAAACATTTTATATTATTTAAAATTATATTTTGTTCAATTTTGTCTTCCATACAGACTATCCTTATTATTTTCATTAACTTTATTTTTACAATATACATATACTTTTATTTTTAATTATTCGTATACTTTTTCAAAACTAAATTTCCTTGCTTAAATCTAAGTCTTGCAAGAGTATTTTGAGGTCTACAGTTGAATATCAGTTCCCTAACGTGAATATCACTTGCATTTTCTCATTCTATTTTCTTTTCGTACATCGCTCTATGGGTATTCTGTCTCCTACTGTTACATCCAGTTCCGTCTTGTTCTGTCAAGTCCATATATGTATGTGTGCATGTTTGTGTATACATATACGCGTCTGAAGTTTTTAAAGTATTTTTGTTGTTTGTTTTGGTTTGCTTTACTTACAAAACTTTTAAGGCCGTTAAATTCTTTAGAGCACCCGCAGAGATTTTCATGATTTGATTTCGCTTTAGTAAACTGTAAAATAAATAATATAGACATGTACATATATGTATACGAAATTCATTTATTATCTAATGTTCTACTTACAGCACGATCAAATTTGGCATTCGTGGAAAGTCCTCATCGTTTATTATTGTCAACAAATTGCTGCCCAAATTGCTGAGCATTTCGAGTCCATTAATGAGTTCGCATTATAGATGAGAATGAAGAGAGAAGGGAATGCGAAATTATGAGTAATCGAGATTTTTATGAGCAACTGCTTTTGGTTATATTTCATTTTTTTTTTACAGAGCACACACAGAGTGAAAGATAGTGAGAGAGATGAGCAATTGAATAAGTTTATAAATTATGGTTACAAATTGTAAATGACTTTTGTCTTAAGAGCTCCAGACTCAAGCCAAAAACATGCGCATTAAGTTAATGGTATATCAAATTGAAGCAAGAAATTTATCCCTTTTTTTTAAATATTAAATGGTTTATTGGGTAAAGTAATATTTTCGATGACTTAAATTACTTCAAACGAAAAAGTTATAAGCCTTAATGAGAAAAATTATTAAAGTAATGAATTTTTGTAGTCTTCAAAAATATATTAATAACTTCAGTTAGAAAATTAAAAAAAAAAAAAAAGATATTAATACAGAGCAAAAAATTAGAAAAAATCATTTCATAATTTATATTATTTAAATGAATTAATTTTTAGCACTGGATACATAATAAAATTTAGCTAAATTAATTTTTTTTTTTTTTTTTTTGAGATCTTCACAAACAAGATTATTTATAAATTGGTTGTTGTGTCACACACAATATTCACATATATTCCTTTTAATTTTTAATAACTTATAAATTATAACATAAATGAATTCAGCTCACAATATACAAAAAAAAAAAAAAAAAAAACACAAACACAATTTCAGTGTTAAAAAAAATATATTTGTATTTTAAACGGTTAAATTTTAAACATCGCTAAAGAGTAGGCAACATAAATGAATATCAATTTAATATTCACGCCTATTTATTAAATATACCTTCAAGCTAAATATTAGCCTAATATCACCCAATTTTAAATGATTTTAATACGCCGCACATTTTACACATAAGCCCTGACAATTTTATGCAGGCAAAAACCGCATGTAAACACGCACAAAAAGCAAATTTGCTAATTGCGCTGGCTAAAACTATATAAGTATATATAAAATATTTACTGATTTAGCTCAAAATTTTTATACAAAGCAAAAATGTATATTAAATTATTGATAGCAACGCTGGATTATCCATTTATGAGGCATGCAAATAATAGGATACAGAAGAGTGGAAATAATTTATATGAATATATTATATTAAAATTTATAAACTTGCGAGTTTTAAAACATTAAAAATGATTAGAATGTTATAGAAATTTTTTGAAATATTAGAAATATATATATACTGAAATTTTTAGAGAGTTGAAATAGCTGAGCATTAAGAATATAATACAACAAAAAAGAATTTTCATATTAAAAATAAAATATATAAATAAAAAAAAAATAAATAAATAATTATGAATACAAGTTTTAATATAAAATTTATAAAAATTATAAGATTGCAACATTGCAGAGTATTAAGAAAGCAAATAGAAAAATATAGCAAGAGAAAATCGATAGATAAATAAATTGAGATAATATACTGTTAACATGCAAATTGTAGCGTATTAGAGGAAGAGTAGGAGAATAAAATTATATGAAAATAATAATATATACAAAAAAAAGCTCACAGTGCTTCTAGAGTTTTGAGTCCGGCCAAAGCGTTTGTCGGAATGCGATAGAAGAGATTCCCCTCGAGGCGCAAGGAGCGCAGCTGCTGCAGGTTGCCCAAACAGTTGCCATCCAGGCTGACCAGGGCGTTGCCATTCAATTGACTGTGTCGCCGAGTTGGTGGGTGAGTGGTTGGGTGGTGCAATGGGTAAAAATACATATATAGATATATATATATGTTCATATATATATATGAAAAGATATATATATGAACGAGTGGACATGGAAGGGAGAGTAAAGGAAATAGAAAAGCATAAAATATCAACAAAATAGCGTGTAATTACTGGCAAGTGCTCGTTGTGTGTGTAGATTTGTGTCTGTGTGAGTGTGCAGTCAGCAAGCTAAATGGCAGCAAGCGTACTAATTGATCCTGCAGACGTCTGTCGTCAGCCTTCGGCTGCATCCTTACTCGTAACGCTTAAAAGCAAACATTAAAAATATATACACAAACACACAAATGCACGCTCGCACATACATACACACGCACACACACACACCCACACACATTTGAAGATAACAATTTGAGTTGGCATTTCAATACTTACAGGCTGACAAGCTGGCTGAGTCCTTGAAAGGAATGCGGCGCGAGCGCTTTAAGGCCGCAATTTTGCAAGTTTAAACGCTTCAATTTGGCTAAGCCGTAAAACGTATACGGATCCATATTAATGATGCTATTGTCCGACAATGTTCTGCAAATAGACAAAACGTTCCCTTGGTCAACAGGATTCCTATGGCGAATGGTAAATGGCAATGGTGAAAGGCGAAAGGCGAAACTCGAAAGTGCAGGATATTGCAAGGATAACAGCCTGAGTAATTAATCGTAAGTCAAGGCGCTGAAATGCACATACGTATAGGTTTCTACACTCAGAAAAAACCTGAAAGCTATTGCTATTATGTTCTGAAAATACTCGTTTTAAGTAAAACACAATAAATAATTAATGAATATATATGTATGTAGAAATTGTTTAATGTTTATAAATTGCTTTAATATAAAAGGAAAGTTTCGTTATTGTAACATTTCGCAAAAAAAAAATAAATAAATAAATAATAATAATTTTCCATCATAATATAGGCTTTTCATTTAATAAAAATTTTATATTTTTTAAATAAGTAATTAAATTGTATTTTTATCAAAGGTCGAAGAAGAAAATTTTTCCGTGTAAAAAACTCAGATAAAAAATATATTTCAAAAGAGTACATCCCCCCAATAAAGATCAATTTAATTAAGTAAGAGTTAAAAAAATGAAAATAAATAAATAAAGACAAAATAAAGATAAAATATTTTATATTAAACAAATAGATTAATTTTTACTAATAACTGTCTGAATGTATATAGAGTAAAATATTAAATATAACGTAAATTCAGGCTAACCTGAGCTGAGCTTCTATATATTCTTTATATGCACGACATCTGTCTTATATTTAATTTTGAATTTAATTATTATTTTATTTTTAAATATTTTCTCTGAGTGTTTTCTATAAAATATAATCAAGTAATTTATATAGCTTGGCCGAGTGGCCTGTCCAACCAAACCACAACTGACCACTGTGATTTTTTGTTTTTGGAGATGGGTTAGCGTAGGTTGTGCTAGGTTAGGGTAGTGAAGGTTAGGTCAGGGCTGGGTAGGGGTGTTCGCTGTGAAATTGAATAATGAGTCGCTGCGCTCATGACAGGCAACAATGAAAGTTTCTGCGCCCTGTTGTTGTCGCCTTTGTTTTCCCATAATTTTTGTGTTGCTTTCCAGCAAACACTGGTCGCTTAATATACAGATTAAAAAAGCGGGTGTGGCACTGAGAGGCGGCACAATGAGTTGTGGTTAAAGGCACAATAGAAAAGGTTGGGATACAGTCTGGGAGTGTGTGAATTATGCTATGGTCTGAGCTGAGAGCCGGGGATGTCAAATAGCACCATTTATTATATCAACTGCTTTTTATATTGTGAGCCATGTTTTAATAAAAATTATGTTGAATTAATCAGCTTTATTCATTATTTTCATAGAAAAAATATATATATATTGCTTTAAGAACATTACTAGATATTTTTATAATTAAATAATAATATATATTCAAACTGTCAAATATTGTATCAAATCAGATAAAAATTAAAAAAAAAAAAAGTAATATAAAGGAATTTGTTTAGGAATTTAATATTATTATGAATCTATAAACAAAATTAATAATTTTTTTAATAAGATGAGCCCTGTAAGCATATCTACCCATCAGGCTCTATCACCCAGAACATTTTTATTTTATTACTTGCAATATATCCTCGCAATTTTCTGAACATAAAAATTTACAATAAAGCAAAGTACATTTATAATAAAGTTCTGCGGGTCAAAATGAAAAACTTTGCCCCTTTATCATACTTACAGCTCCTCGAGATGTGGCACCATGAAAAATGAATTAGCCTCCAATCTGGTCAAATTGTTGTTACCCAAGTCGCTGTAAAGACAACAAAAATACAAATGAATATGTTTTGTGGGAAGCAAATTTATATATTTTTAGATGGTCCATCTATCAATTTCAATAAGCCAATCGCACGGGAAATAAAATATTATGTGATGAATAGAAAAGGTTGCTTCAACCGATTGCCAGCATTTCGAAGCCGAAAAACTTTTCTCTGGGCCATCAATCAAACGCTAAATGGCATTAAAAAAACATATTGAATGAGGAAATGGCTAAAATATGAAGATGAACTGCGGCAACAATTTGCAGTTGCCAGTTGGCAATTGGCAAATGGGCAAATGGCAAATGCAACGTGCCACGGACATATTTCATTTGACCAGACAGTAGTCATATTTAAAGCTCGATTTATTTCGGGTTAACTGTCGCCGAGCGATGCGTTAATTAATAAATAATTTATTTATCTATTTATTTATTTATTTATGGCCAGAGTTCGCTTTGGCCATTAATCAGCGGGGTAGCCAAAAGCGGGAGGCACAACTCCTTTGAGAGATTTGCCTGCTTTTATTTGCGACGGCAAGAAAACGTGACTGACATACGAGCCACAAGTCTTAGCTGAAAATCGAGCGTACGATTATGAAACCTCGCACAACGTGGCGTATGTGTAATTAGATTAAACCGCATACCAAAACAGTAGCGAAACAAAAAAGCAAAAAAACACACACGAAAATACAAATAAATAAAATAATGAAACCGATTCGACAACACTGCGAAATTGACTTGTAATTATACGAATGGGGAATATGCGGAATTTAGGCAACCAAAATACTTTTGTCTCTAATTTCCTCAGTTAACACACTAATCGCTTAATAATGAAATCGATTTATATCATTGCGCATTAACAGCTGTTATATGGAACACAGTTAAGCATTTCGCTGTGCTCAATATTTGGACAAAGTTTGTGTATAGGAGGAATACGCACAAATATCTAAGAGCTGGCATTTTATTTTCGTAATAATGAAATGACTTCAAGAAATAAATATTTGTAATTTTAAAATTAAAAATTGAATTAAATAAAAAAAGCGAATTTTAAAATTTAAATATATTTTCTGTGAAATATTAATTGCTAGTTGTGTAATACGAGCATTTGCTTCATGCAGACAGACAGTTTGGTAAACGAGCTAGACAAGCATTGCTTATGGCCAATATTCTTATTTGATTGCCAAAAAAAGAAGAAATTTTTGTATTTTATTTTATGGCAGTATTTTTTGGCCTCCGGAAGTCTTGTTGAGGCCTAATGACGTCAGTATTGATTGACGTGTAATTGGTGAATGATCGAGTGACGAATCGCTGATAATAATCATGTTAATAATAGTTGCAGTAATTCAAATACTATAAAAGATAAAAATATATATTTAATGAAATAATTGAATTAATAATAAACCATAAATCACTGTTGAGACTAGGACAAAGAGAGGGAGAAAGAGAGAGAAGCGCTTGCGTTAGACATTATTAATTACGACTTCTTAGGGTTTGTAAGAGTATTTATTATAGAATATTTAAAAGTTAGAAAATTTGAAAGTTATGTTCTAATAACTACAGCTCTTACAGAATGCAGAATACAGAATGCATATTAAAAATAAAAGTACAAAAACCTACAATAAATAAAAAGTATCATAATGATATGATACATATAAAATACATACATACATATACAGATAAAAAAATACTAATAGTGCCAAAAAAAAATGCGACCTTGAATAATGTCTCATAAAAATATTATTATTTATTTATTATTATTATTATTTATTTTTTTTTTTTTATTTATTTTTTTTTTTTTTTTTTTTGAATGCATTTTAAATAATAATAATGTAAACAGCTCAATATGAAAGCATTCTACTCAGAATATGGACTACATCCTCAAAATACATAAAACATTCCTCAGGTGTTTTTATTTAGTCTTTGATTGCCAACTAACTAGTTAAATCATGTGTGTGTGTGTGTGTGTGTGTGTGTGTGTGTGTGTGTGTGTGTGTATTTACTTAGCAACCAGTTTGATACTTACAGAATTACAGCCTCGCTGGGTAAATTAACAGGCACAGCCAGGATGCCAATGCTGCGGCAGCTCAGCCTCAAATTCTCGAGGCTGCCGGTGCAGTGGCAATGCTTCAGCAGCCACAGCTCGCAGACGCTGTGCACAGTGTGTGCATTTGTTCTGTTGGAGTTGCTGCTGACGTCGACGTCGCTATTACCACCGGCAGCCGCAGCAGCAGCAGCAGCAGCAGCCGTTGCCTTGGCGTGCTGGCTGCCGTGATATTCCTGCAGCGATTTCTCGTACAGTATTTGCGCCTCACGCTCCGGATCCGATGAGGGCAGCATAACGTTTTCCCTAATGCCGGGGGCGGTTGCTGTGGGCGTGGCTGTGGGCGTGGCTGCGGGCGTGGTAGACATATTGTAGACACTTATGCCGTTAAGTTGCTTGGCAGTGTTACGCATTTCTTTGGTTTCATTTAAATGCAGCGACGTCGGCGTCGACAGCGCTGCTGTGACGCGCATCAGCAGCAGAGACAACAGCAGCAGCAGAGGCAGCGACAGCGGTAGCGGCAGCTGCAATGCGAACAGATCATGCTTGAAACCGCCGGCTGTTACCTTTGCTGCTGCTGCTGCTCTGCCGGCGTCGCTGTGTATAAGCTTGCGGCGGCGGCGCCGGCCATGCACTACCATCTCTGTCGCCGTCGCCGTCGCTGTTGGCGTCGCAGTTGCTGTCGCTGTTGCCGTCGCCGTTGCTGTTGCTGATTGATGCTGTCAAGCATTTGTCATTTGATGACAGTTTTGTGCGCAATTCGTTTCTCGCTCATGATTTTTCGCTCTCCTTGTTGGTTTTGTTGTCGTTGTTGTTATTGGTGCTGCTGCTTCTGTTGCCGTTGCCGTTAGTCTAGTTGTTGTTGCACGTTTTATTTCGCTCACTTTTCTGTTTATTTTGTATTTTTTTGCCTTTTTATTTTTATTTATTTACATTCACTTTCCGCTTCAGCTGCACTTCATTGCGTTTGCATTTAGTTATTTTCTGCGATTCGTTTGCTTCGCTTCACTTTTAAAGTCGTTCTTTTTTCTTTTTTTTTTTTTTTTAGTGTACTTGCTAAAATATTTGTTGGGCTCTTGAAATAGTTTGAAATTGGTAATAGTTTAGTTTAGAACATTTTGTATGCAATATTCTATTGTCGAATGTGTTTACGTAACGTATACTCTGCATGTTCATGCGGGAAGCGTAACATGTATGCAAAGTACACAATTAATAGACGAAGCAGTCGTAGAAATTTATTTTGCATATTTATTATTTCACAATTTTTGTTTGTTTATTTATTTTTATTTTTTATTTTTATTTTAATTTTTTAAATTTTTTATTACACTTTTATTTTTATTTAATATTCCCTTATTGAAAAAAAAAATGCTTAAGTCATCAATGCCAAATTTTTAAATTATTTGTAATATTATTTATTTTAATTTTAATCTGTTATAATTTATATAATTATTTCTATTAGATTTTTATTTATTTAATCTTCCCTTTAAAAAAAAAAAAAAAAGTGTTTAAGACACAAATGCAACTTCAGCACTTCTTTTTAATTTTCTATAACAATGAACTTAAGCTATAATTATTTATCAAATTTAAATAAATGCACATTTTATAATTGTCTTTAATTGTGAAAATAATATTGGATTTGCTGAAATATTACAGATAAAATCTAAGCAAACATTTAGCACTCCTTTCCGCACGTTTTTAAGCTCTCAAGAGGCAATTAACAAGCACTTCAACCACATGCATATTTATATGTATGTATGAATGTATGCCAGACAAACAGCAGACCCCAAACACAAAACGCAAAATGGGTCATTTAGTGGCCAACTGTCAGAAACAAAAGGAGCAGATAAAAAAGAGCCAGATGAAGAGAATTGGAATGAGAACGGGAACGAGAGAAGAATAGAGTAGAGCACAAAGCGCAGCTGATGAATGACAAATTTGACAGCTACCACGCCCATAACCCATTGCGCTCACTGCACAAACAGTTAATTAATGAAGCTGTTGACAGTTTTTGAATTTTTACAATGCTCAAAGCTGCAAATTAAGGCAGCAATGTGACCAAAGACGTTATAAAACGATGCCTAAAGAGCATGACCAAACTAACAGCAAATATATCACGAATGTCAAGATATTAAATGCGGAGGGACCCCCCACGCCCAATTGCCACACGCCTGGCTGCGGAAATAAAAGACATTTCTTCCCCGAAATCCTTGGCAACGCGCCTCCATTTAGCTCGCACTACTCAGCCGATGATTTATGGCATGTTTATGTGCCGCTGACCTCGTCTATGGCAACGGTAAGCAAATACAACAGCAACAACAGCAAAGGATATATATACGTATATGTTGGGCTACTTGGAGTCTTTCAGATTGTTGTTGCAATCAATTGAATTGCCCTCCTAATCGCATTGAATGCTATCAAAGCCAAACGTATCGTCTCTGTGTTCTGTTCTCAATTTATGAGTTCAAATAAAAAAATAAAAAAAAAAGAGAAATTCATTCATAAATAATGGGCTGTGGTTTCCGCTAATTGTAAACAATATACAAGTATTCGTATCGCTGCGTATTTATTTGGTTCGATTATCGATACAAACACTAAATATTTGCTATGCTGTATAATGAGTTTGCGACAGAGTTTGTACAGATTGGCGACGAGCTGTTGAAATATATTATAGCCAATACGCATTAATCGAATTTTTTGCTAATTTTTCTTAACGTTCAAAGACTATACAATATATTGAGAAAGATCAAGACGTAAAGTCTTTCTTTTACTTATTGATCATTAATGGCTCTTTTATATTAAAATATCTTTTAAAATGTTATATTTGTAACTGCATTAATAAATATTGTTATTAATTTATATCTATGTATTTCCTTAGGACATTTTAATATATTATATTATTTTAACATATTAACATATTAAGAACACCGCTAAATAATTCAATAAATTATATTTATTTTTATTTTAAAATTCTCCTACAAAAATTGATGTTTAAACTCTTTGAAATGTTCTCAAAGCTCATATCTTAATCAACATAATTATTCTAAATATTCAATACCAACTCAACACGTATAATTGTTTCAGCAATTTCATTTACTACAAATACATTTTCAAGATTTGTACAATTATTCCATTTTAATTACCAAATTTTTCTTGGCTTCTCCAAATACCAATTGAGTTAATTAAATTAATCGGAAATTGATCGCCAGAAAGAAATTCAGCTAGCAACAGCTAAAAAATAAGATTTTCATAATTCCACTTTTTGTTTTGCCTTTAGATTTTCCGATTTCCCGCCGCAGCCTAGCCGCAGAATGCAAATATTTACATCGAACTTTTGCTTGAGTGGGTGTGAAATAAGGAAAAGGTAGAGAAAGAAACAGCACACAAAAGTTTCGAAAAGGCGTCCAAATGCGCACACACGTGCCTGGCCCTGGCCGGCACTCATGAAGGGCAGCAGCGAGGGGTGGTTGGTTGGTTTGGTTTTGGTTCCCATTGCGACGGTTTAAGCAAAAACGTTTCACACAACTCGTCTGGCAGGGGCTGTGGCAAACGCACTGTGTCTGCTGTCTGCCGAGTGCCAATAATAACTGAAAGGATTTTGTTTACTCTTGATCAAAATATATATATACACACATAAGCTGTTTATAGACTTTGACAGTTTTGGATTTTTATTCTCCTTGAAGTGATGTCAATTGAGATAAAAAATATTTTAAATATATTGATTGGCTGCTTTGTGGGGTTGCGTTAGATATATTTAGAAGCTTCAAATGTATATTTGTATATTTATTTGATGTTAAGATATATTTGATTTATATTTTTTAGGCTTAATATACTATTAAATACTGTATATTGGCTTGTCTCTTTACATTGCGTTCCCCATATATTATTTATATTCTATCTCTCTCCTCTCTCTCTCATGATATTCTATATATTTTATTAAAATTCTTTTGAATGCTGTCATACTATGTGATTTTGTATTATATTTTTCCTATACTACCTTTTCTTTACAATTCTCAAGGTCATCTTATTCATATTTTAAATAAATCATTATATATGAAACTCAATTAAAATTCCTTAGAATTTTTTCAATTGATTTTCATTTTATCAAACTTAATTTCTCATGTCTAAAGTAGGTTTTCATCATTTTCATTGTGATCATTAAATTATTAGACAATATCCATCAAATTCAATTTACAATTTCAGTTAAAACTTCCTACTTGACTCTCAATCAAATCTACTCGAACAATAGGTGTGATCTATGTGACCATATTACTGTAAAACTTTCTAGAATTGCGCACCGTCAATAATTTTTTCACCTCAGCCATTGTTGTGCCATATTTAGCCTGACATTGAGTGAGCATTGGCAGTGATAAGTCTGTGAATTCTAAAAGCCAGCGATTATCTAAGTACTTAAATAGCCAATCATATTGAAATGCTAAGCTCTTTATCTAAGCCGCTCTCATGGCATATGCAAATTATTGCAGTTGAACGCATGCCAATTTTTAATTGTCACACGATTTGTTGTGACTATGACTGTAATTGATATATGACCACTTTATAACTAACACACACACACACACTCATACACATCTGATCAAATTTATAGGCACACGTGTTTCTACGCACTTCAATGCTACAAATTTCCAACCCACACTAACATAACTCAAAAGACATCAAATTTTCTAGAAAATCACATAAATTGCTGCACACACGTCGATTAATTACAAGAAAAAATATCTGTTAAGACAGCCACGCCCTCGAGCAAAAATATGAAATGTAATTCGGTGCAGGATTTTGCGAGCTTAACTGAAAATTGCTGTTGACACATAGGGGTCTATATCTCTATATAAATTTAATATATAGATCTTTGAATGCACACAAATATCTAAAGCCCAAACTCTTAAATAATAAAAGCTGTCGAGCTACGCTTCGGGGCTTGGCGCAATGATTAAATCATTTTCAATTTCAATTGCCAAAAGCAAAGAAAAGTCCGCTACAAACAATTTTTTCGCACTGAAAACAAAGCGGCGCAACGTCAAAATTTTAGCTGAGATTTTTATGCGTTTTGATAAAGCCTAAAGCAGGGTATATTGGGTTTAAAAGAGGCTGCAGTTTTGGTTGGAATATGAATGAATACTAACAAATTTAAAAATGTTAAATATTTTAATTCATTATTAAGAAACGCAAAATATAATTCTAGTGCAAATCAGCTTCGGCTTGCATCAAATTTTTATTTGTATAAAATAAAATAAAATAAAATTTATATAAAATACAAAATAAAATATAATATATAATATAAAATATATACATTTTAAAAGTTTTTATTTATATAAAATAGTATAATATATAATATAAAAAATGTAAATTTAAAAATTTATCTCTAGTGATGCGAGGCATCGACCCTGATTCTGAGATTACAGTATTAGAGAGTGTTACTGAGCTAAATAGCCAACTCTTTGTAGAGTATGCCAAAGTTGAGCAGAGACAATGCGTGCATTCTCACTTGACTTTGTTTTTGCTTTTATTTTGTTTCGCTTGAATTTCAAGTGCAGCTCACCAAATACAAAACTGGTATTTCAACACAAAATGCAACTTTAATTTGTCGCTGTTGTTGTCGTTGTTGTTTTTGTTGCAGCTGTTATTTTTGTTGCATTTATGCTGCTTTATGCTGACCTTCATTCATTGTGGGATTTTTTCGCTCGACTTTATTAATGACAGCTGTTGCATAATTTATTTAATTTTAGTATTTTTATTTAGGCGCGACTTTTTGGAGCTAAATAATTAAATGAGAATTTTTGGAGCTTTGGAGTTACGTTTCGATGATGAAATATAAAGAATTTGAGAATATTCGATGAAATGTTTGGATAAATAT